TTTTTGTTTTGCATCTGTATTATTTAATTAACAAATTACGAGAAATTAAATTTTGACACTCTTAATGTTTATATTAATTAAAAACAGAATTCATTGGAGAATTTAAATCATCAAATTTTTGTAAAACAGCAACACCATTTACCAAAAATTTGTTCAGAATCGTAAAATAAAAAAAATGCAATTAAAATCAAGATATTATTTAATTAGAAAAGGTTTTAATTGCTTTTGTGAGTAGGACATAGTAAAGACACTATTCTCTTAAGAAAAACAAATTCTTTCGATGTATAAATAATCTTTACAAGTATTGTTTTCATTTATTTTCAGTTTTAATTAGAATAATTTATAGAATTTAAAAATCATTTAAATTTCTGCATTACTTTGAGCGCGTTCGATGATGTTATTAAGTAAAAACTCTATTTACTAATCATAAATGGAAAAGCTTAGTAAAAACCATGAAACACCAATTAATAATTTTGAATTTTTTTGTACGTGTGTAAATGTGCCAATTTTTGTAGATACAATTGTTCATACACGATATTATCCTAAAATAAGAGCGATAACTATAGTAAATTAAAACCAAAGTATCTAAAATTCTATAAAATATTATATTACAAAAAATATTTTCCTAAATTTAAAGATTATTGAGTACTTAAAAATTATATATGAAAGGCGTTCACATTATATTCTTCAATTATTTTTTACATATAGAGCCACCGTGGAAAAACATTAGACAAAGATCCATCTGTCATCAAGCAGTCAACATGTCAACATATTCAATAAACAGCTACAGCCCTATTAAAAATGCATTTTTGCGATATTTTATACTTAAAGCAAATAATATTTATTTAAAATCAGATCAATTATACTTTAAATCAGCTAATATTTCTCAAGTAAAGTTTCAGAAAAGTATATTTTGTTTTTGGAAGATTTTTTAATAAAGAGAATTAATTGCGATAAACGAAGGCTAAAAATGGCGTTGAAATCAGTTTTTAGCAATAATAATAATAATAATAATAATTCCAGTCAATTTAAATTAATTTTGAAATAGAGCAAATTATTTTACTTATTGGAAATATTAAATTTACTCTATTAGCTTGAAATTAAAACTAAAATAAAATGTGACACTTTTTAGCTATGGTAATTGATTAACTAATTAACCATAAAAATTAAACAAGAAAATACTGAGAACGAAAAAGAAGATACCCCGAGATTTTATTTTTAGTTTTAAAAAAAGTTATTTTTCTCAAGAACCAGAGGATTTGCGTAAACAGTGGACTCACAAAAAGGTCACATGGCAAGTTTTGACAAGTGATTAATGATGTTTGTAAAAGTACTGGTTAAACAAAGCCCAAGAACAAGTTATCATTCAAAATCACAAGATCTTAGAAGACGGCCAGGTGATGAAGCCATGTCTTGATTGTAAGAATTTTTGGCATGGGAAGATGTTCCAAGAAAAATGTCATTCAAATTGAAAGATTTTATGTTTTTTTTTTTACTTTCCCAAGAAACTGAGGATTGGCATAAACAATAAATTCACAAAAAGCCATGTGACGAGCTTTTGCCAATAGATTTATGATAATTATAAAGAAAACACGAAATAGACAAAGAGCGTCTGAGATATCATTCGAAATCGCCAAATTTTAGAATTTGGCCAAGCCACGGGGCATATATATTGTTTGTAAGTCGAAAAAAGAGAATTTCATAAACGTTGATAATTTTGGAATTCAGAAATCCTGAAACAAACAAAGATGTCAAAGGGTTAATTAATGAAGCAAGCATAGCCACACCCGCACGACCGAGACGCCATTGGCCGAGTGGTCGCAATGGTAATAGGCGGAGGTAAATTGATAAGAAAGACGGAGAGATTACTAACGTCCACCGAAAGGATTTGGTATGAGGTACCAATCTGAGAAGGAGGGAGCTTAGTAGGATAGCTATCCTGCAACCTCTCCTAACGGACGAAGGGGTTCCTCAAAAATAGAAAGTAATTAATTTTCCAAAATGTGAAGTCGTCATTTTTCCTAGCCGGACAACAATGAGGTCCCTTGTCAGAAATCGGGAATTACCAAGAACCCCAGGCTCCGTCTTGCCCCGCACCAGTTTTTGGTCGATATCCATATAAACGAGTGCCCTCGGTTCGCCAGTGATTTCCAGGCAGTTCGAGTTCCAGTGAGTTCCGGTAAGTTCAGGTTGCCTCACAGAATCTGAGCGAGAGATTCCACGACTTCCTATCTTCGACTTTGCCTTCCTACAAAACAGTAAGTTATACTGACGAACGAAGCTAAGGCAGCACCTAAAACTAAAACAGCTGACTTAGAAAATTAGAACTTGCCGGAAGTATAAAGTGTCACTCTCTAAGAACAGGTTGGGTAAAACACATGCTCCTATATAGAACAGACTAGCAGCATGGTCCGGCGTTGCCCGTGCTTGATCCAAAAATCATACGACTCATACAGCAATCGCTATCACTTGACTTAAAAATAGTTTTTGCCCTTCCTTGCCTTTAAAGGAGTGCCCTTTGCCGTGCTGATGTTGCTACATGCCTTACTTCTTGCCTATCTCACACTGCGAATTTTTTCTAAGCTCTATACTAAACATTAAATCTGTTACGAAAAAAGAACTAAACAAAATGAACACAAAACGATCAACTTTAAAAAAAGACTCGTAACTGGAAAAACCGAATGAAAAAAGAATGTTAACGACAAATACTTTTTCACGCCCAACCCAGTTCTGCGGAATCAGAATCAACGTTGAGTTTAAGCAAGAGAATGAGCCAATTTGAGTAAAGTGCCATGCAGATTTAAATTTTTCCCACTTGTGACGAATGCAGCTATCGATTTTTTTTTGCATGCTAGCATGCTAGTTAACATTCGTGTCAGTCAGCTGTTGGCTCTCACGCTGCCCAATAGAATCTTCTTGCCTATTCGTGGGAGCCAGCTATTGACTCTCACTCTGGCCAGTAGTAAATGGCCGCAAACTACATGAAAACAGCCGTAGAAGCATGAAAAAATCGATTATTTCCACTATCGATGGGAGTTGGGAAATGCAAAGTCGGTCTTGGCCTTCCCGCTAACGTGGAACATGTGCATTTAAATTTTGATGCAAATCCGTCGAAAATTGCGGCCGTGCATTCGTTACACCCACACACACACACACACACACACATTCTGCCTTTTATAGATAGCGATTGATAAGAGTTGATTTGCTTTCTTTCAACATAACCTAATCTTTTTAACTTTTTATTTATTTCTTTTTTTTACATTTGTGCGCCATCACCTCCAGTTTAGTCTCATCTTGCACTACGGCACCGATGCTTGATTGATCTCGTCTACCTAAGATCAAATCACAACGTTGGTAGGTTAGACTTGAGATCGAAGTAATTACTTCAGTAACCAGCCATTGGAAGCGAGCTGAGAAGGACGGAACTGGTGTCCGACCGGTTGCATCTGGTGTGAAGCCGTTAGAATCGACCGACCATCCCATTTGGTACCCTGACCAAAGGATCCCACCGAGTAGCGACGACCGCCAATCGACCGGGTCACATATTGCTGGCAGTGACTAAGAAAAACGCTGGTAGGAGAAGTATCATAGCTTCACGCCGCGACTTGGAGTTGACGCCGTATTGTGTCACAAAAAGCCCCAAGAAAGATTTTTCATTTTTAAAAATTCATTTTAAACCTTAGGTGTCAGGAATCTGTGGAGATAACTACACAAAATAAGAAAGGTCGTCTCAGAATTTGTTTAATTTGTACAGCGAGACGACCCTATGAAAACTAGAAGACCTATTAGAATTTATTCATACGCTAAAGTAGAAAGAGGATTAAGACAAGAATATGCCCACTCACTGGATTTACATAATCTATATACCAAGATGATCCTAAGTGACCTGCTACGATGAGGACGGATTTTTACACTCTTCCCAAACTCTATCAATGGTTTGGACCCAAACGTTGATATCATCTGTGTGATTCTAAAAGAAAAGACCTAAGTTTACACCCCCATTATAGGTTTTCCATTTTTCCACGACACTCAGGCTTTGAATTCGATGAACAATAGTTAAAAAGAAATCGTGGCAAAAGATTAAAGTTAAGAAAATTAAGTAAATCATGCAACAGTTAAGTAGCACAACCTAAGAGGCCTACTGTAGTGAGTCTGATTCTTTATTAGAATCAAATGCAAATATGCACATATATGTAATTTTAATGATTGTAACGTTTGATAAGAATTGTTTATTCACTTTTGGATTGCATCAAATTAACTTCGGACTGATCGAGGATATATGGCTTCCGGTCTTTCTTGGAGCGTTCGATCTTCTTGCGAGTATGTGAGGGATACTCGCACTCTCATTCTAGTTGGGGCATTTATATAACGGGTGTCTTGTGCGGGCATATCCTAAGTTTTGCTACCTTGTTTATGTTGGTGCAACCACAGACATCCTTCGAGGCCCGATACTGCACTTGATGGCTTTGTGGATACCTATCGCGGCTCCTAGGTTTTCTGAATTTCTGAAGATCAAAGTTGACTGGGAATCAATAAGCCAGAAGATATTTCCACAAGCGAGAAGTGCGAAAGAAAGAAACTGTTAGTATAGCATAGCCTCGTTCGGGTTCCTCTCTGCTCGAAGGCAGAGAGTTCGACACGGCAAGAGCTTCCCACCCTGACAGCTCACACTGCCAGCTTAGACAACATATTACCCCCACTTACAATAGTGTTCAACGTGTTTATGAGAATTGGGACATACCCATTAGTGTTCATAGGTACAGTATATAACAGATAACTTAAACATTTTGACGATAAAACTTTTGATTTTATCAAGTTTGAGGCCTTTTTTCATCATGTTATACTTTTTTGAGCGAATGGAGATACTTAATGTGTAAATAGAACTGATATAATATATCATAATAAAAACGCTTCTTTGAATCATTGAGTCATTGTTTTATGCTTTATTTACTTACAATTCAGGAAACTTGAGACACACGTATTATCTGCAGTTTTATGTTTCATTTCCATCGACCAGTTTTAGGCATTTTTAATTTTTTCTCCAAGACTTCTGTGATGACGTCCTTCTTATAGATGGTCCACATCCTGTGTCGTTCGATCTCTTGCTCCAATAATCTCGCTTCCGGATAACTCTTGGCCATCTTACGTACGCGCCATGCTACATGCTCGGAGGCGTGTTCAACAAAGTAACTCTTTGACAACAAAACCACCTCGACGCCCCTCTCGTCGCTGGTGCTGACTAAACCAAGACCAGGGTGATGGGGCTGGTCGTAGTACTTGTCAAAGACAAGTGTATCCAGTCCAAATACGTCGTAAGCCCTCAGAGTGTCAATCTGTATGTAGACGTACTCATCTCCTTCGCCGCTTCCCAAGTCGTCTTGTTTCTCGGTTTCTTTGTCATCATGAGTCCCAATCGCCAAGAACTCCTGTTCCAGCTTGAACTGATACTCACCATTTTCTAAAGTTTGTTTCTCGCCTACTTTATTGACATTAGTGTTTCTCTGAGGGACACTTTTGTCTTCCCCTTTCGTTTGGCTTTTAGCGCCTGCTTTGTCATTTGTCAAAACGCGGTTTCTGTTTCCCAACGAAGGATCCCTTGATGTTTCCGATTTGGGAAATTTTTTTCCCATCCTTTTCGTGTGTTTTACTCTCCCAGCAACGGCCGCTTTGCCCTGTGCAAACGCTTTCCTCAAATGCGCCTTACCGGCAAATATTCGACAAGTCTTTGAATCTAATGGGTAATAGAGAGCAAACCGCTTTCGAAACAAATTCTCCTCAGTTCCCAGTGCGGCATCTTGCTTGATCAGTTCGTATCGCATGGGCAATTTCCAGATGGGCTTCCACAGTTTTCGGATCACCCGGCAGAGGCCCGAGCGTATGACGAAGATCCAGTCAGTCTTTTCAATGTCTTCTACCATTAGTGTGTTACATTTGAAGAAGTAAGGCGCGCAAAAATCCAGATTGTCCGACAGGAGCTCTACTGGCCAAAGAGCGGTAAACTTACATTTTTTTAAGAACTTCACGTGATCCGGAAGCTCTATCTTGCTTTGACGAGTCGTAAAGACGCTGTGCAACTCACCACATTCGATACTGAGAAGCTGGACGTTGCTATAACTAATAGCCGTAGCACTCCTTTGAATACGATTAACCATTTCCAGCTCCCCAAAAGTGGCCCCTTTCTGCAAAATTGACGACTTCTCCAAATCTATGTTTTTCCTAGTGTTACGTATCCTTTTCACGATCAATACGCTGCCGTTAATCAAGAAGTAGAGATTCTCAGCAGGACAACCTTGTCGGACGATGACCCGTTGGGGAGTGACCACTTCGTATCGTGCGACTCGGATAAGCTTCTGCTGGACAGCCTTCGGATAATCATTAAAAGACTTGATGCCGATACAATAGAGATTCTTAATGACATCGTCTATTTGCTCTTTCGTGCGCTTCTCGGGTATTTGGCTCAGGACGAATTTAGAATCAGCCGATAGGACGATGATGTTTTTGTTCGCCTTGAAAAAGTTGAGATCAAACGAGATATCCCCAACGCAGAACGGTTCGTGCTCATCTTGGATATTGTGCGAGGCCATTTTCGCCATTCCCATAACCATACCCACGGCCACCTGCCAACGATTTCGGGACATTTTGGACACCATCCCGTCGACGTCTTCCTCCTCCTTGGCCTCGCCAGATTTTATGAGCTCCTTAGGTATTGTCAATTTATGGGTGGGCCTTTTCTTCCAGCTGCACCTGATCCTGAGAAGGCCGAGTGCTAGACGAGAGTGCACTTCTTCACTAGTTTCCTCGGTATCACTGCTTACTTTTAGTCCTTCCTCCTCCTCTTCGTCGTAATTAAAGTACATATCGCCAAGACTAGCATAGTGCTTGTTTAGGGTCTTGACAATGTTCTCATACCGCTTACGCTTTAGGAATATTTTAGGGAAACCTTTACGTTCTGCTTTCATTACCATGGCTTGCATAGTAAACGGATCTACTTTACAGTAAACCTTATCTTCAATTTCTTTCCATTCCGGGCTGAGGTCCTCCATGTTTGTTTGCGTGTTTTCTTTGTTTTATATTTTACTTTTTCTGTATTTATTCACTTTTATAAATATTTAAAAAATATATTTTTAGGTAATCTTTTTAGGTATTTATTAAAAATATTTCCAAACTGATTTTTTTTATTATTCATTAAGGTCTCTTTGCATCTGGTCATTAAAAATTATGTTATTTTCTTCTGCTAAGCCAATTCCAAGGACAACTTTCTCTTTGTCATGTTAGTTGTTAAGTGTTATTCTTTATCACAGGATATCGTTATGGCGAAGTTCAAAAGAAAAATCTGACTCCCTACACAACAAAGCTCAAACGACTAATTAATTGACAACGATGTTTTAATTAATTTCTTGAATTTTAATCTGAGCTAAAAATTTACCTGTAAAAAAGTGTCACAGATATTTCATCTTATATATATTAATCAGCTTACTTGCCTTTTTTATTCTGATTTTCATAGTCGTATACATTACTGAATAAAATTGCTTCACGTTGCAGTTTCTCGTCTAAAATAACCAAATTTTCTCTCAAGTTGTTTCAAGATATTTCAGACACTACATTCTTGGGAATAATAGAGTTCCTTATATCGCGATTACAAAACGCGTCTTTTGGTTTGTTTGTAGTTTGTGATAAATTCCATTAATCATTAGAAATTTCAGCCAGAATTCAATTATTAAAAATGAAGAAGAAAAATCCATCCATTTGGAGTATTGGGATAATTTCCGCCGAAGATCAACTAAATTTAAATAAAATCACTTTTCTATTTGCCTGATTGTCGGTATTATTAAGCTTTTTCCTTGTTGCTTACTTTGTTCATTTTCGCCTCAAATATATATTATATGATATAACGATATATACTTTTGTATGATTTTATATATCAGCAAACAGTATTTTTCTAAATATATATAGATATATAGATATGCATTAATTTCTGCTTGGAGTTTTGTTTTGCGCAACGTTTATATGCGTTGCAAATTTGTTTTTTGAATTGTGCACAAGATAGAACGCTCGAATATGACTGATGCAAACGTGACGTCATCTTTACGACACGCGAATCGACAATGATCAAATTAACTTTAGAGAAAAAAAAACGTGAAGGATTCATGTCTGTAAACTAAGTAGAGTAAAACAGAACAAAACCTCAGTTTAAACTGAATTTGAATTTGTTTTAGTTTCGAATCCGAAGAGAAGCAGAAGGTCGGAAATTTTTTAATATAATCCATTTTTTTTTTTTGACTCACAAACTATTTTCATTTTTGTGTGTTTTTCTCACTACAACCCCCAGCGCGAAAAGAAAAGGTAAACAAAAGATTATCTATTTTACTAGAGATTATCTCCTCTTACAGTTTCAGGTACAAATCCAAACCTTGTAAAATACGGGAAGAAAAGGAACGTATTTAAAAACGAATCTCTTACGTTTACAGTGATTAATAAAAAATATATATATATGTATAATTTTTGGGGGATGAGGCGTTATCATAATTTACTTCTCGCTTCTTGAACTCTCTTGCTTTTTCTGCCAACATCGGTGGCATGGAGAAGGCAGACGTGCTGTATGCGCAACCACCGGTCGCTTATAAAACCCTGCCCAGGCCTGCATCCTGGAGAAGAGACGCTAGCGTTGCTTCGCCGCGACGACAAAACACAGTAGCAATGTCCCGTATGGATAGGAGGATTCCGAAGGCTCCTCTATACGAATAACTAGCCACCGGAAAGAGGGCACGAGGGCAAACTTATTTTCGCTTCAAAGACGTCTGCAAATGGGACATGAGTTGCGTTGGACATTAAGAGGTGGGATGACGTTAACAACGATCGCTCAACGCTGGAGACGTGATTTACACCGACCGCTGGAAAAAGAAGAGCAGAAATGGAAACTCACTCTTTCATTATATTCTAATATATATATATATATATATATATTAAGAAATGGACAAAGTCCGACAATTTATTTTATTAAAGACATTTTTATGTTTAACGTTCTTTTTATAGATACAAGTATTTAAGTAAATGCTCTGTTTATAATAAACAGTATTAAATAACATTTACCGGCCTGAATGTCCGAGAAATTTCCATAGAAAATATTCGTCCTTTGACAGGATATTTAAAACTTTTAACAAAAACAAATTTTTAAATACATACATTTAAAAAGAACGTTAAACAAAAAAATGTCTTTAGAAAATATATATATATATATATATATATATATATATATATATATATATATATATATATATATATATATATATATATCAAGATATTCCCAATGTGCCGTTTCTGAAGTTAAAAGTAAAAGATTCTAATCTTTCTGTGGAGGTTTGTATCGGTTTTGTTCGTATAATACAAGAAGCAACAAATCAATGAAAAGTGAAGATATTTATCGCCAGTAATAAATGTTACTCATAAAAACAACAATAAACTGAAACTATATTTTCTTCGGTTATTAAAACAAAAAAGACTGAGAAACAAAAAATATTTAGAACCAATCAATAACCGAGTTATTGTGTCTATTCATTGCATTCTAGCAAGCTAGCTCACTATCAAAAGATACGATACGCAAGAGTTGATATTAGGTAAGGGATTACATAGGTTCAAACCTCACCCTATCGACATCAGTCCAACATCCAACTGCAATGATGTAGAGTAATTGGACATGGTTAAATGTATAAAGTAACTAAAAACTTCCTTGCTGTTTTTAAACGTCATGTGGGAAGAAATAAATGACAATTATTTTCCTTGATTCTCATAGTCTGTTTTAAACGTTCTCATTCATGGTGGGAAGACGCATATACAAAATAAACAAGGAATAGATTCTCATATTCTTTAAATTAGGTTTTTCTGAATGTGGTTTTAGATTCTCATGGTCTTTAATCCCATCTCCAAGGTTCTCATCTCCAAGGTTCTCATTCTGAATATGGTTTTGCCAAGCAAGGATTTTCAAGTAGATTCTCTGTCTTTAATCCCACGTTCTCATTCTATACAATGGTCTATATAATGTCATGAAGGCTAAACAAGGATTTTCAAGTAGATTCTCATATTCTTTAATCCCATCTCCAAGAAGGTTCTGATTCTGAATAGTACCAAACCAAGATTTTTATAGATTCTCACAGTCCTAATATAAGGTTCTGATGAAAGAAGTTTTATATTTGACAGACCATAATGGCCATTTTGCCAGACCAAAGAAGATTCTCATAATCTTCAATCTCATCTGGAAACTGCTGATTCTAAATTTGCTTTTATATTTCTTTGTTATTTTGAAGTCACCCTATCATGGAAGATGCTCCGATTGTGTAACTGACGAGTGATTTGATATTTATGCCTTAAATGATGGCCGGGAAAGTACCTGATGCACTATCAGACGTAAGTATTCCACTCATGTAATTGCAAGACATTTGATTACAGGAAATAAATAAATGATGAAGACAGTTGTGCCAGGAAATATGTAAACCCGGGTCGATCCTGCTCAACGGCAGCCAATAATGTAACCCTGCCTGACTCCTCACACGTTAACTTGTCGCTAGTGTGTCGCTGGTATCGGGTTGATAAGAACGGTTTCACTCGATCTAGCTGGCTTTTGTCTACTTCATGATCCATCACTTCTCTGTCACGTTGTGTTTTCGATCTCAGAAGGTGAGAAAATTGCTGGTGAAGTAATCTGGAACGAAGAAGAGGTCGACTTTTCAATCCACGCGAAGTTCAACAATTATCATGCAGTTAGTAGACTCTTTACGCTTCCTTTTTTTTCTTCTCTTTTTCTGTTATTATTATTATTATTATTATTAACCCTCTGAGGTCCCAGTGTCACAGTTTATTTGTTATCTATTCACAAGAATAAAAAATGTATAAATCTACATTACATTAAAATTAAAGCGGGGAGAAAGAAGAGAAGATGAAGTCTTTGACCGTTTGTTTTGACGTCCAAACTTGTTAACGCGTAGAATTGAGATGTATTGTGAAAATACACAATTATGGCACAAGGCCGAAAAATGGGGAGGGGTTGAGGCTGGTTGTCTCGAACTATCTTATACCTAACTAATCCGATTCACGACCCATTCACTCATTACAACTTGCCCATTCACCACAAAAATCCGTCCGTCACCAATCAACCCCCCATACACCACAATACCGCATCCTCTCAAGGGGGACCTACAAAACGCGCCCCATGCCATAAAAATCTAATGATTATAAAATTTATACTACATTTTAATTTTTATCAGTATAAAGTTACATTCACAGATGTCAAGTCAGGGTAAGGTTGGGGGTGTCTAAATTTAAAACGGAAGATGATTTCGCCTAGTCTGGTTTACGTGTCTATGGAGATTTATTTATTTTTTTATTTTACACATTATTAAGTTTCTAAATAATAAAAATCTATTAAACAATAGACATGTAATAAATATGGCGACAAAGATGAGGACAATAGTCCGAATAATGTAAATAGTGTACATAATACCTCATCTCAGAAATATAGACAGATATCAAATTTATGGATGACTAAAATGAGAGGGGAGGGAATGAACCCTAAAACAAACTAAACATGAACACAAAGTAAATTAAACATAATTGATGTTACTAGGGCCCGTCCAACCTTCAAAAAAAGAGAGGTGTAGAATTAAAAAAATTTCTCTTTCTCATTGATGCTCCGTTTTTATAGCAAAGGCGGATACCATAACTTGACAAGGGAGGTAACCATGGATTACTCCACATTTTTCACACACCGTTTTTTTTTTTTTTTTTTTTGAGGACACGATGGTTAAACATTGCTAATAACTCTATGTCTGTTCCTTTTATTTTCTTAATTATTGTATACGGAAGGATTAAGAATTTGTTTGTTTTTCGATTCAGGAATGCGAAGACCTGGATACCGAAGCGGGCACCCAAAAACATCAAATATTCTTTGATAGAAAAGTCGATCCATTTCTACTTCAAGCCATTCTTCTCAAAGTAGAACACAAAGGTTTAAAGTCCCAGTATCAACACCGAAAAAGATGTGAGACGTTTTTTCGGAGCCTCAGCTCACGGTATTCAGGTCTAATGGGTGACGAAGAGGAGCATAAAAAGCCCGAGCCGAGACTGCTGGTTTGCCAGACCGCAAAACCACGTTCAGCTAGCAAGGATAAGGCGCTGATCGAACAGTTGGCGAAACGCATCTCGCACCTCAAAAGCAGTATAGCCCTTGAGAAGAGGAAAACCAAAAGCGTCATAGAACCGATGACGGAGAGGAAACCACCCGTAAATCAGGTGCCGAGCAAGTCGCAAATAAAATTACCCAGGCAGAAAAACGACACCGTCGGAGCGAGAATAGCATGCGATCGTTGGCAGGTGGCTATCGGTTTAGTAATGGGTATGGCAAAAATGGCGACACGTTCGATGCAAGTAGAAACTGAACCTTTCAGCGTCGGTGACCTGGTGTTCGACCCAAGCCTATTCAAGGCTAACAAGAATTATGTTGTTCTGACAGATGATTCCAAATTCGTTTTAAGCCAGCTTCCTGAAAAGCGAAGCGAACAGCAAATTGAGGAACTTACCAAAAATCTGAAGGAGATAGGAATCAAATCGTTCAACGAGTACCCCGCTGACGTACAACGGAAACTTGTTCGAATTGCTCGCTACGAAGTTGTCACTCCTCAAAGAGTTATCATAAGACAAGGAAGGCCATCAGAAAACCTTTATTTCCTGATTGACGGAACCGTGGTAGCCATTGAGAGAATACGCGGTGCTAATGACGAATATGAATCCGAAGACTTGCTCATCCTAAGAAAAGGTGCAATGTTTGGTGAAACGGAAATGATTAACAGGCTTAACCGGAGGGCGACGGTCATTAGCAAAGCGAACGTCGAATTGTTGACACTTGAACGAAGTGACCTTTTAAAAGTCTACTCCAATTACGAGCATCCAACCGAGTCTCAGGATCATATCAAGTTTTTGCAGCATTGCGACTTTATTGATTTATGGCCGATCAATAAACTTGTCAATGATCTTGATATTTGCACACCGTATTTCTTTAAGCAAAATGCGCTGATCATCGAAGACGGCTCAAAAACTGATTTCCTCGTCGTTGTACGGTCCGGCCAGTGTAGAGTGATACGAAAGCTGTACAAAAATGTTTCGAAGAACGTCCCCAAAGTGGATGGGCAAACAAAATCAAATAAGGTCAAAATGTTGGAATACAACGATGAACTTCTGCGTAACAACTTTCGCCATTTCAGCCGCCACGGTTCGCAGTTTGATTCAGTCTTTAGGGCGGATTCTTTTGAACAAAAGCTAAGAGTCAATGCTAACGTGGAGCAAATCATCGATCAAATCCGACCTCAACCTAGCCAAACCTTGAAAACAAGACCGTCACTCCAGTCACATTGCAGTCAGAGTTACGGTGAAATGTCGAAATCAACACTTACACGGCACGGGAGTAAGCGTTTGGAGCGCGGCAATTCGTTTCGAAAGCAGAAAAGCATTCGCACCCTTAATAACAGAATCGAGCAAGACGTCGAAAACGAATTAGCTATTCTGGAATATTCACAGAAGACCAAACTTGAAAAGGCGTTGCTGCTGCCTAAGACACAGGAATATTTGCTGAAGGAAAATGAAACAGACAATGAAAACGAAAATGAAGCTGTTTATATTCAGATCGATATCTTAAAGAAGAAAGACGTTTTCGGATTGGATACTCTAGTCTTCGACAAGTATTACGACCATCCGGACGCTACGGGGCTGTGTTTGGTCAGCGGAGAAAACGAAAAAGGTGTTGATGTGGTGTTTTTGTCTAAAACCTTTTTTGTTGAACACGCTTCCGAGCAGGTAGCGTGGAGAGTTCGTCGAATGATGAAGAGTCATCCTGACGCTGAAACGTTATGGGCTGAAATCGAACGTCAAGAATTATGGGCGGATTATAAGGAGGCCGTGATCGATGATATTTTCATGGGAAAGCCCATCCTTTTAAAAACAGCCCCATGGTTATAGCATTCAAGGTGCTTTAAATTGTACAATGGAAAAAAAAAACTTCCTAAATCTCTATCTTTCGTTTTTATCTTTAATTATGTTATATCATTTCTCTGATTTGCGGTGCCTGTATGTCCGTATATATGTGTACGTATGCTTGTGTGTGTGTGTGTGTGTGTGTGTGTGTGTGTGTGTGTGTAAATATACGTAAAATTTCAAATATAACTAAAATATATTTTTAAAAGGACAATATGAATAAAGAGGAAAGGAAAATTTATCTTAGCCGACGCGTTTCGTCCTCTTATGGATTTTATCACATTTACGTTGAAATGTCCATCTGACGACGAAACGCATCGGCTAAGATAACTTTTCTTTGTCATTCATTATATATATATATATATATATATATATATATATATATATATATATATAGCCTAATAATAATGTGGTAATCAACAGGAAAAATTGATCACACCTTTATTACAATAAAGACAAGCAACCATTCTTCCTACTCGCCTGGTCCCAATGTATATCGTTTTCCAATAGGATAATCAGAATGCGCTTTGAAGATTATTGTAAAGAAATCCCTGGTATAATTACATGGCACAACCCGGATTATTTATTAAGCGTCCACCAATCGCTGAACCTGACGTGTTCACCGTCTTATGCGAATTATCGCACCTGCCCTGATAAATATTTGTTGGCACGTACTGGTCGGCTCGAATCTCCGTTTCTGAAAGTTAACCCTTTTTAGTTATTTTTTTGTTACTTGTTGTTGAATATTTTTTCGATTAACCTCCTTATGATAATTTTGTTTTATTATCCTTTCTCTATTATTATTATTATTATTGTTGTTGTTGTTGTTTTTCCCTTTTCTTTGTCTATTACAATTTGCTTCAAAATTTCAATTAGAAAATTCAGTTTTTTTTTTGTATCAGAAGATAGAAACAGATGATGAGTCATGCAGAAAGAATAAAATAATGTAACAGTAGTCACTGAATGGAGAGAAATCTAAGCAACATGCGAGAAGTACTCATCAATATGATTTCTTTCTTTTTTTTTTTGCAATATTTTAGGGCTACCAGGAATTAGATCTCTATATTTTTTGGTTCCTTTTGGTATCATTCTAAGAGCCTCTATGACAATAGGCAATGTTGTTGTCTCGAGGTCTACATATTTAGCTAAATTCTGAAACGTTTTCACAGATGTGGGTTTGTCGGCTGGGGTTGTAACTTCTACCATACGACATGTATTTTCGACATGATCGTTTCACAATTTATTATTATTATTATTTGTTCTTTGATTCATTGGTACATCTATACGTTACATTTTCATTGCATCTTCCGTTGTATAATCAACAAAAAGGAGGCAGGATGGTGTAATATTCCATGTATTTATTTTAGATTTAAATGATCATAATCTGTAAGATTTTTTTTTAATTTTTATTCCTCACGTTTATTGTATCTGTCTACAGACATGATAAGCAAGGTATTCAGACAATTAGTTCACGTTTAAAGGTTGACAATAAATGCCGTTCTAGTTCACCTTCTCTTCCTTCATTTCTGTGTACGTACGTTACGCTTCATTTACATACGGCGTTTATTACAGCTTGTTTTTCATACGTTAATAAACTATTCAAACACGTTTACCACTAAAAAATGACATTTGAAATAATAGAAAAGGTAATATATTTAATTTCAACACAGTTTATTTCTTTTAAAGTTTACTTATACTGCATTGCTTTCAGTACGAAATTAATAAGGCGGAGATAAACTGAAATAGCCAGATTGTATGTTTCTTCATTATTCCTTTTATCATTTCAGTAAGCAACTGTAATAAAACAGAATATAGAACTGTCAGCTAATTGAGATGCTATGAAAGAGAAAATATTTCTAGTTTTCATTTCCCCATTAAAGGCATTAGTATATCCCTGATATAGTTGTTGCGGGCCAGTGTACGCATTGGGAGATAAATACGTGTGTCTTCTGAAATGCCCACAACAAACATGTCGGACTCGGAATATGAGTTCACCTAAAAACTGTAGAGAAACACCAAGAACCGATATATGTGTACAAACGAATAATATTGTATGAACAACAAAAGGTTACCAGTGACAAAGACAATGATGTGCATGTAACAAATGAATGTGGAAACTTTGTGGTCCAAAATATGTAAAGTGAGTAAATGTGCGTATGTGTGTGTGTGTGTGTGTGTGTGTGTGTGTGTGTGTGTGTGTGTGTGTGTGTGTGTGTGTGTGTAATGTTCATGGTTTGGTTTGGTTTATGTTTTACGGCATATCAACTTCAATTGGTTATTTAATGCCGACAACTTTTTTTTCCTGGTAATATTTTGTTTTGTCAAAAATCTATTTCTGTTAATATTTTGTCTCAAAAATGTATTGTATAGCTGGTAATATTATTTTAAAACATGTATTACTAGTAATATTAAAAAAAAAAAAAATAACTTATTACTGGTAATAGTTTTTTCTTCAAAAATTTATTTCTGGTAACAATTTTTTACAAAGTATTTCTGATATTAAAATCTATTTTTACACTTTTATAATGCTTTTTACCTCAGTTTCGGGGTTAACTATTTGCCCATAGCTGGGACCCTAACAGGTGCTACCACCTTGGCTCAGGGTCGACCTGGGAACATCAGAAATTATGAGGTGGTTCTACGCTCCTCAAAACCTCCTGATCAGAGGCCTTGCCGTTGGACGTAGTTTATCGTCTTAACTTGGACGCGGATGTAGTTTATCGTCATACCCAGGACAGTGTAATGTTCATGCGTGTATCAAAAGAGAGATCATGTTCTTCCGCTAGAAATATACATGTTGACGTCTAAGCGGATAAATGAGAAAAAAAAGAGCAAGAAAAAATATCGCCGAGTATTTATAGTGTTGGAGAGCGTCCCTTAGTAACGGTTTCGGGAATTAGGAGAAAATAACCCGACATAGTAACACCCTAATAAGCGGATGGAAGAGAATAACTGAAATAAAAGAATGACAAACATGCATTGTTCTCAAATAGATATTTTTTATACAGATATATACATACTTACCACTAAGTTGTCCCACACAGAGAAATTATAATATGCGAATTCAACAAGCAGTGTGAAAGGGGCGAAAGGCAAGAAGGTCATACTTGGAATATTTCCCGAGGGGAAAACGGGCAGGATGGTGGTGTTCTTTATGTTTCTGGTGAGAGCATGTGGGTACCCCTGTCTTCTGAAGTGCCATGGGCAGATACGTCTTGCTTCCTGGAGTGATAAATAGCAATTAACGTTCGACGTTCTATCAACTGACGTCACGTGAGCTTCGTGACTTCGTCTCAACCAAAGAAAGATAATCGCCGTTTGCATCCTTACAAGCCCAAGATGTGAGCTATGAGTTGGAGAGGTTAAAATAAAACAAGTATAGCATTTTAAATATCTGTGTAATGTTTTAACAGGGGATTGGAAACTGTGATACCGAAATTCGAACACGCAATGGAATAGGAAAAGACGCATTCTAAAAGCTAAGCAAAGTATTAAGAAATAGAAAATTTTTGTTAGAAACTAAGAAAAGAGTGCTGAACTGCTAAGTAATTTAAATCATCGTATAAGGCAGTGGATGCTGGACAATATCATCAGAGATTAAAAGAAAATGGAGACAGCAGAAATGTGGCGCTAAATGTGGCGTCGGTGGTTCTGTGCATTGCCGGTTGTTCTCTTTCATTGTGGAAGAGTTCTCCAATATATTCATTCCAGCACAGGAAGAATTTTTGTCCTTCTCTAATATGAGCATTCCATCCTTTGATTTTATGCAGCATGTTGACGAGCATGTTTACAGAGCAGAAAAAAAGATTTCAAGATGGCGGTCACGCATCCTCACACGTCACATATCGAACTATCAATCTACTGGTAATCACGGGTCATGTTTTACATCTATTATTATTTAATAGTAAATAAAATTCGTTCTTATTTGATACAAATAAGCATACCTCTACCAACACAATAATTACGGAAACATTTTCCTAATTTTTTAAGATTACTGGGTAATTCAAAATTATATAAAATATCAATACAATATATTCCTTTACAGATATGTCCACAGTAGAAAAAATTACATAAACTTCCGCCTCTCAGTCAAGCTGTCAATACCTTAAATAAATAGTACCCTCTGTATTCAAAACTGCATTTCTGTGACATTTTAAACTAAAATAAGTAATACTAGTTTCAAATCAGATTAATTAAAATTTTAATCAGCTAATATTACTCAGATGACATATTTTATGTTTGAAGGATTTTTTTAATGAAGGGAATTACATTATAATGACAGACGACTAAATTTAGGGATTAAAAAACAACACCTTTCTGTCAATGTAAATTAGTTTTTGAAATACAGCACACTATTTTGCTTATTGGAAAAAAATAAATTTAATCTATTAACTTGAAATTAAAACTAGAATAAAAACTTTAAAAAAGATTTTTACTTTTTAAAATTGATTTTAAACCTTCGGTATCGCGTTTTTGTGAATATACTATATAAACCTTATTTTATACCGTTGTCAGAAATTTGTCAGAAATGCTTTAAAGAAAAAATAAATTTGTAAAAACGCTCATTATTTTATTCTCATCTTTTGTGTGTTTTGATTTGATAGACGTTATTGTTTTCTTGAAATTCGGTTGCAAAACTTGACAGTACAAGTTCTGTGTCGTGGCGGTTGACTCCGTTCAAATCTTCAAAGACCAATCCAAGAAAATTCCTGAAGAAAAAGAAAAACATAACGTACTAATATTTGTCGAATCATTTATCTCGTATGTTTGCAAAGAAAAGAAAAAAACAAGAAGGCAAATTTCAGTCAGCATGTATTGACCAATTTTCAGAATATACAGACACACCCCAAAATCATCAGGGTTTGGGGAAACTTGGTTTACATGACACAAAGATCGTTATATGGATTGTAGGCAAACCATCTGTCGTTCTCCTGACAAAATTATATTCCCCAAAGAAAAATTAGATTGTCCCTGGTTCAAAAGGA